CCAGGTAAGGGCTGGGCGCTCGCAGCCGCTCCCGGGGCCGGTCCCTGCGTCCTCCAGCGAAGGAGAGCGCTAAAAATATTCCCGCTTTATTTGTTTTCCTTTCTTTCAAGGTTCACGATGTTGACAGCTATGTTCTTGGCTGGTCTCATTCTTATTACAGTACATTCGCAGGAAACTGAGGAAACCATAACATACACGGTAAGGTTTAATAGAGCTCGAGATAATTGCTGCTTTGCAGGGATTCTTTTCTAAATGACCCTTAAGAAAAACCGAATTTCTTGCCGATGTATGGCACGCAATGCAAAGTTCTTCGAGTTCAAACGTTAACCATAAAATAAGCTGTTCCTGCACCGGAGCAGTATTTTAAAGATGAATTTGACAAGACTGAGCAAAATAGGCTCCAAATGCCTCTTCTGGAAAGCTTATCCATGCACCGAGCTTGGTGAGCTGAACAGAATTGAGAGGGCTGAATATATATATATATTTTTTAATCCATTTTCATAGAGACAGGGTCCCTAGGACCTCCGTTTGAAATATATGGAATTTGACAGGTAATTAGGTCAAACATTCTTCTGTGTTTTCTTTTGGGTATTTCAAGCTGTTTTTAACAGAATGTAAGTACTCCAAACTGCAGTGCTCTTAATGAAGCCTCTGAGTCCTGGGGTGATCGTGGCACCGTTCCTTTCTGAGCTGGTTTGGAGCAGCAGTTTTGCATGGCTTGACAAAATTGTACAAGAATACTGGGAATAGGTTCTGCTTGTATCCAAGTGATAGAGTTGAGAGATTTAAAGGCCTTCTTGTGAGGCTCTTTTTTTATTTTTATTTTTTTTTAAATCTGCCTGTGTTCAGTCTTTGGCTTGCATCGTGCATGTCGTAGAAGGAGTGGCAATTACACTGGCTTGGGCTGGGGGGAAAAACCCACATTTTCACATCTGATTGCAGTTGTAATCCCTGCAACTTGCTTCATATGGGTGGACCTCTGCATATGTGCACAGACATCAGCCCAATGCCACACAAGCAGAAAATTCTGCACACATGCAAAAAGTTAGAGAACCACAGCCAAAGACTGGGATTGTGACTTGTACAAGTAATCCCACTGAAGCCAGTGGGATGGCTCAAGCAAGTAAATATTGCAGAGTTGGACCTTAGTGTAGAAGAGGAGGCTCAAAGAAGCCTCAAGTGAGCGTCAGGAAGCCAGTCATAAAAGACCTTAACACAGGGCTTTAGAAGCAATAGATTTTTGAAGGCTGGGAGAACTATTTAGAAGCTTCTGTGATTTTTAAGTCCCTGTATATAAGTGGAAATTGAAGATCTAAGGACCTTTTGAAAAGCCAGACTAACACAGAGATCCCACTGCCCTCTCTTCCCACATTTATTGTTTATTTTACAAAATTAAGTGGCATTTTCTGATCAGCCTGCATAGCTCTGTTTATACCCATGGAAAATTTCTAGCATGCAGCTATAACCTGGGTTCCTGTACTCCATTGTCAGAGAGGTCTCACATTCTAGGTACTTCAGTGATCATTAGACTCTAATCATTTTAATTTAACAAAAAAAAACTTAGGTTTTGGAAATTTTACTCTTAGGATGCTGCTGTTTCTCAAGTGTACAATGTATTTGTTTAGGACTAAATCCTTTTCTGTTGTAAAAGTCTCTTCAAGCTGCTGTAATAGGTGGACTTGGCTCTTTACACTTAAACAGACAGTACTCCTGCTGTGCACTAACAGTGATTGAGTAAATGCATGAATTAGCTGTTCTCCTTTGGGTTTGCATTTTCATAGCTACAGCCACTTTGGTGTTGTCAGCTCAGCACGTGGTCATCCCTTTAGGGATTGGGAACTGTGATACAATTTGCTGTCCACTTGCCCCTTTGGAGGAAAACCCCTCCAGAGTTACAACTGGCTGCCACATTTGGCAGGTCCCTGGTGTCCCCTGCAAATGAAGGAAATATTTTCAATTCTATTGCAGTCAGTGTCTGTGAGTAAAAGCTCCTCAGAATAACTTGAGGCTAACACAAGTGGATCTTGGCATCAGAAGGACAAGTTTGTCACTTGTGTAGCTCCTCTGCAAGAGGGGAGTTGCCACAAGATTTAAGTTGCTTGACCATGACTAATTACATTAGCCAACTGGATTAGTTTTTTCTATAGGGCCATTAAAGCAATATCCTAAAGAGCAGAGGATGCAGATGCACCTCTACAGCACAGCTCAGCTGATGCATTGGTGTCTCACATGCCTCTCCTGCATTGTGATACTTTGCTAATTACTTTTTGTAACTGTGCCCTGTGATTAAAATCGCTGCCCTGCAGACAGCCGGATGGGTTTGGGCAGAGGACTAATGCAGATGCCTACCTCACTGCAGGGCAGAATGCTTCAGATTCTTCCTAAATTTACTCATCTGCGTTGATGAGAATGGCTGCTGAGTGCAGTCTTGTTTGAATTTTGCAGTGTCTTATTTATAGAAGCCCTCCTGCTGTTATAAACTCTAAGCAGTTACTGGATGTCTCAACATAAATTGTTCTTCCTCGACTGCAGTTCCTGGAGTTCAGGTTAAAAAGCACCTGAATGAATTTCCAGCTGGCGTGGGATCCTTCCCCACTGCTGGAGGGCTGGTGGGACAGAGGATGAAGTCCAGGGGTGTAGAGGCCCATCAGTCCTCCTGGCAAACCAGCCCCAGGAATGAAAGATGTTCACCTGCTGGAAGGAAGTGAACAAGAGCCATATTCAGAAAAAAACATGCTTGTTTTTCAGGAGAAGATTTTCACACTGGCCAGCTGGGTCAGTCCAAAGGTTCACCTATTCCAGGGTTCAGCCAGTGACTGATGCTTTAAAGTAGTGTCTAGGAACAAGGCAAGGAGCAAGTGATGCTTTTCTCACTTTGTTCCTCAGCACCAACAAAATCCACCTGCTAACAACAAACAAGACCTGAGGAACTTCTTGGGCTAGGGGCTTTCTCTGTAGATACCTGTCATTCCTGCACAGCAATACTGTACCAACAGCTATTTTTCCAGCTTACCAAGGTCTGCCCACATTGCCAACCTCTGAGTTCAATGAAATATGCTTATTTTTTTCCAAAATAAAGAATCCTGAGTAGCCTAATTCTTAATCCTTTTTTTTCTCTTCTCCATAGCAATGCACAGATGGCTATGAATGGGATCCTGTTAGGCAACGGTGCAAAGGTACAGTAAATCATTTTCCAAGACACACTTGACTTTGGTATACCTTGAAGTATTGTCCTTGCACACCTCTGTCTCAGACAGGGAGGTGTGCCTGCATGTCTCATTCATTGTGTTGTTTGTATTAATGGCTGTTGCAGAAGGTTCGACTGTTAAAAGCATGACTTGTGTTGTTGCTAACCACAGATATTGATGAATGTGAAATAGTCCCAGATGCATGTAAAGGTGGGATGAAATGTGTTAACCACTATGGAGGATACCTCTGTCTACCTAGAACAGCACAAATTATTGTAAATGAGAGAGAAGAAGCAGGAGCAGCTGAGTCCACTAGTGGTCGGAACAACCCCATCCGACGGACCCCAGCGGACCCTCAGCGTGCCCCTCCAAACCCAACCCACCAAATCCAGTGTGCAGCTGGGTATGAGCAAAGTGACCACAACGTCTGCCAAGGTAAGCCAGCTCCCCTCTCTCTTCCTGCCAGTGGGACTGGAGTGTGTGTGTGAGGGCAGACTTAATGCCTAGGGATGACAGCCTGTAACTCCTGCATTTACCTGCATAGAATTGTTGCACCGTTAAACTGGACGTGTACACCCTGAAGATACATAAATAAAACACAAGTTGTTGCTGTTCCAAGTACAGAACTCAGTTTGTTGCAGCCTCACTGTCTGATCCTCTTTCAGGCTAACGAGTAGAATTAATTCTGTTGTCTGTAGATCCTCAGAAAAAAAATGTAATGCAAGTAGAGCAACTTGAGTTAAACGTTTTGTATTGTGTTAAGAACATCCAGGAGAGGCAGTGCTTTGAAAGAAAGCAAGCAACAGCAACTTATATTATAGACAAGTTCTGAAGATTTGCAAAACTCTGTATTTTTCAGTAAGTAAATGCTGAAGGAAACAACAAATCCCCACCAGTGAACTTTTGCTTAGACCAGATTGTAACGCAGAAGAATACGGGGGGGGGTTAATTTTCTATGAGGAGTATTTCTCAAGTAGCAGGAACCAAAGATCTGAACAGCTTGTGCTCTTCTGATGTCTGTGGGAGCTGTTCTGCAGAGACACTGCCAGCTTGCTTCCAGTCATAGCCTAGCCAGCCTTTGAAACTATGGCAATGAAGCACTCTGAGTGTACACACACCACACACGGGGCCAAAATTCTCAGGGTATTAGCAATGTTAATTGTATGCATCCAGGAACCAGACTGACAAGCACTACTGTAAACTAAAGACTGTTTCATTTATTATTTTATATAAATAGTTTACTCTTCTACTTGCTGAAGTAACAAACATTTTGCCCACTGTTTTGTTTCCTTTCATAAAAATGGATTCTACTCCCTGTTCTCAGGCTTGGCTTTCCAGCACGTTAGTGGGATCTCCCTGCAAACAGAGGGCAAAGCTTGACCCCAGCCTTCATCTTTTCCACTTTGTGGCCCATAACAGTGTAATCATATAAAATAAGTACTTGGGTGACTATAATCAGGGCAAGCTGTAATATACAGTGGTAGCTCCTCTCCCCCCTGGTATTCGTGTATACAGAATGTTATTTATCACTAGTGAGTAAATTCCCTGTCATTCTGAAGCATAGTAATCATCATGGAGGCTGGATAAGTTATTTTTGTAGGCAAAGCCTCAGAATTGCATTTCTGGCTTATCTGCAAATGTTCCAACGTTTCTGTTGCTCTAATTCAAGAATGTCAAGTGAAGAACCTACTGCAGGAGGTCAGTACCACGAGCCCCTTAACCCTGAGTGTCCACTTTGGTTTTTCCAGGGGGGGGGAAAAAAATCAGTGCCAAGGATGGCAAATATTTATGGTTTTTTTTTTCCTTAGTGTAACTTAGAAAAGCAGCAGAACCAGGAACCAACCCCAGCTTGCTGTGTTTGATGCAGCACTCCCTGCTTCAGGGAGTCTCTGTACCTCCTGTTCCAAATAAGGGGGGAGAATGAGGGTTAACTGGGAGGCTGACAACTGGTTGAGGTTTTTTTTTCTGTTGAGAAGATGATTAGTGGTGATACATTACTATTATTTTACTCTGTGCTCTGGCTTCCTGAAACTTGCAGCTAAATATTTATATTCGATTCACAAACCTTGGGTTAATTTATAACAACAACTAACTGTTGTTATAGCACCAGCACTATTTAACTAGCAGACACACAAACTATGGTGAAATCTTGGGCTTGACTGAATCAGGGTTTTGCTACTAATTTCCTCATGCCAAAACTTCCATCTCAATGCAGAAAGCATGGAAATATTAGAGTTTAAAAGCTGAAATATATTGTACTGAATGAATTCCAGCTGGAAAAAGGGTAGTGGACAGTGAAAGAAGGGATAAAAGACTTCTGGAGCACTTAAAGCATGCATTCAACTTCATGATATTCATGCTTTTCACTGCTGAAAGTATCTTATAAAAGATAATCTCAATCAGCAATGGTCCCACTGTGGATTTATTTAATTATGGTTAAAAGACTTTGCTATGATAACTGCTTGAGGCTCCTAGGGAGTGTTACTTACACACATAGTCACACTTAAGCTTGTTTTATTGTTTAGTAAATCAAATATGAAGTCCAGCTCCTTCTAATTGTTTGCAGATGTATGACATTTTCCTTCCAGTGCAGCAGCACTAAGGATTTTATAACCAATGTGAAAGTGTGGAGACCTCTGTGTAAAACAATAACATGCTCTGAGGAGCTGCAATACTGACAGCAGAGCAGAGCATGAGGGGCCTTCTGCTTCACTGCAAGTGTCCACTCCCTTGTTAAACCCTGAAAAGTGAGGGCAGGAGAGGCCAAACACACTCATGTTGCTTTCTGTGCCTGGAATAAACATGAGTAAGTGACCCCAGCCCTGCTGGGCTTCCAGAGGCTTCCATGGTGCCTTGAGCTTCATCATTCAACATCGTGGTGCCCTGTGGCCAGGTCCTGTTCCTCTGACAGGGATGAGGAATGTTCAGAGAGGCACATGATCTGCCAAAACATGGCCCCATGCCTGAGTTACAGAAGATATTTAATACTTTCTTAACTTCTGACCTGAAGGAAACAAGTGGCAAGTACAACACTTAACAGTGTTGAGAGTTTTCTGTCTGCACCACGTGCTGGTTTTTATGAAAGACCATGTAGCTCCTGAAGAGCACAGATGGCAGGTTGAGGGCAAACAGAGGCCCTGCAGAAGACAGCTCCATGGAAATGACTGCAGCTTCCTATCATATCCATCATTTTTCTAACTACTAGTGATCAGAAACATGTTCTTGTGTAGTTATGGTGATGTTAGAAGCATGGGTAGTAAAAATTTCCTGGAAAATTAAGATACTGCATGAGAGCAGTAAGTGCCAGGAACCCCCAAAACTGAGGAAAGGAGGAGGGGAAGTTATTCTGGAGGAGAATCTCTCATGCAGAATGTGTACAGAACACTGAGTTTTGTGCTTCATCTTAGAACACACTCCTAAATTCTGAGTTTATGACCTTAACTAGTCCCCCCTCTCTCCCTGTCTTTATACAGTCACCTCACTTTTCAGCATGGCTTCTAAATTTGCCCTTAACTCCAAGGGCTGCTAAATTGCTCATCAAGGTAAATTCCTCTATGTGGCACCTGCAAGCACTTTGAGGAAGGCATTCAGATGTTCTGACCTGTCATTGGGAGAGTATCACTCCAATTGGGAAAAGCCAAAAACAGTAGAACTATCATTAAGCAAGTTAGCTAATATTCACAGACACCTTTTCCCTGACAAAAAAAATCATAAATACCTGTGTTCAGTTGCCTGCATACAAGACTGAACTGTATTTCTACTCTGTTGTTCAGCTCTCTGGGATTTGAGTCTGCTCCTATTGAAGTCAAAAGAAAATCACCCAATTAATTCAATTTTGTCAAATCTAGTCTGCAAGAAAGTACAAGCTTTTCCTAGGCTGTTAATGACACTTGAATGAAACAAAGGCCAAGCAAAGGTACCAAATAACCTGTAAACTTGAGAAGGGAAAAAGAACTTGCTTTTCCTTGCCTTCCTGTCATGCTGGCAGTACAAGCAATGAAGTAAGCCAACTCCTTTGCACCTCAGCCACATTAGCTTCCTATATTTCTCCAGTCTCTTTATATCTGTTACCTTCCTATATTTCTCCAGTCTCTTTATAACCCCTTGTGCTGCTGTGACTGTAAAACAGAGGGGGAGGCAGATGGTAGTTAAAGATCTCCATGCTTTCTTCCATGAAACAGAGAGATGTTTTTCCAGGTAGTTCTGCCTACACTTGGTGGACATGGGTTGCTTTTTTTCTTCTCTGTAGGGGGGGGGAGAAAAGAAATTAACTTGTGTTCTGTACTGTGATTATTATTGCCTTGCAGAATCATTTCAGGGATCTCTTCATTTGGGTTGGGGTTTGTTGGTTGGTTGGTTTAAATTGAGTTTCCCATATTCATGGAGGCTTTTACCTCACAAAGTTAGCTTAGTGTAAGTCAAATAAGCTTCAATGCTGCATCTCTAGTTTCCTCTTTTATTTTCCTTTTTTTTTAAAGTTTTGTTTTCCACAGAGAAAGCAGATTGTATTCTATATGTGTACACCTCAGGGATGTGCAGCTAGGAACTAAAGGATGTCAAAATTGGCTGAGTGCAGGTGGCCCAGGGCAGAACTGGCTCAGGCTGGGCAGTCTGGGGGTGCCTCAGGAAGGTTTTGGCTGGGGTGCAGGCTGCCCTTCTGAAATGCTCCTCCTAATGAGCTCCACTGCACAGGCTTTGGTTTCCATCACTGAGGGGTCTTGGAACATGCAAACCAGATCCCATTCCTCTGAGACAGCCTGAAGTGCACTGAGGGAGTGCTGCTAATACATGGCAACGCCTAACGAGCTTTCAGGCTCCAGAACTGGTCTGAAGAGCCCAGAAACCCTCAGAAATGCATGGGCCAGGACACTGGAGCCTCTGCACCAGCTTCTCATCTGCTCCTGTGGGTCCACACTGTTGGCTGACATGGACATAACCCAAAATACACCTATAATGATTTCACAGGCTAGCCCCAGAAATGTTTCAGAGAGCTTTTTGTAAAATATTTCACCAAGTTTTCCCACTTACTGTGTTTAAGGAGTACTTGGGGGAAAAAAAATTGCTTTCTGGACTACTTTTACAAGGGCCTGAGCTTTGACAAGGTTAGTTCCAGGGTTGTTCCTCTCAACAACAAACACAAGACTTGTTTAGATGGAGAATAGGGTGAGGAGAGAGGCTGTGGTAGGGAAGGTAAAGTGTAGTTCTGTGGTTTAGGATGCTATTAGTTCCAAGTGCTTATCCAGGCACAGTTCATAAGTCCATATGTTTGCTGCAGGACTTTTAAGAGTAGAATATTTGTTGCCAGGAGCAGCCACCCTAAGAGACTGAGCAGGTGACACATGCCATTTGAATACTAATCCCTTGGAAAAACTGTAGGAGTTTTGCAGGTCTAAGAGAATGCACAGAAGGACACGTGCTGATGTTTTCACAGCTCT